CGCCACGAACCGGATGGCCGCCACCCACTCCTCTCTACACCAGACATTGATACTAACTGTCACTTGTTCACCATGACACATCCAGTAGACGTTGGAAAGTAATTAAACAGCAAAAGATGAAACATTGTATACTAAAATGTCTACACCAGTTTGCTAAGGTAATTATTAACATCATACAATACCTTATACTGACACTAACCTTTTAACACAAAGTGCACATCTGCTGAAACTTTTTCATTTACGGGCTTTATTACATTTACAGTACATAACATACAATACCGTATAACTCCCAATTTAGATAAATGATGCGATGATACAGAGTGAATTCTGCGCGCCATGACAAGCTAGCAATTTAAATTAACTCTAATCATAACTTATACACATCCCAACATTATCCCCAGCCTACTATACGTACCCACTAGGGGGCTCAGAGCCTACCCTAAGTTTAGGGTGTGTAGGCCTTAGCAATAACACTGGCTTGGTTGCAGGTTGGTTGACTTAACAGATATCTTTGAATTTCTTCACGATTATGTGTGTGATGCATCACAATGTTTTCCTTCACCATAAGAATGTCAGAGAAAACTCACATTGTTACAAGGTGGGATTCGCACCCAGGACCTATAGATTAAAATCCCTGAGCCGCCAACCCTCTATGAAATTTCAATTACCATGATTTTTGACTTCTTGATTCTATGAGTAAACAAAGGGTTGACATATTCAAAATGTATCTAAAACATAATTGTTTTTAGAAATTCTAATTGTTTTATCTTAACATCACTTTATTAGTAACTCTCGCTGTATTAAGCAATGTAGTGAGAGGCAAACTATCAACTTCTACTGTTATCAAATTATTGCAGCTATTGTTCTTCATCTATATACTCGTTTACAAATTTGACATTTAAGTTAATTAATAAACAAATATATTTAATGAAGGGCAATACTTATTTACAATTGGGGCAATGGGAAATTCCTGCAGTTTTATCATACAATGATTGTGACAAACTGGTATTGTTGTGGTGACATTGCTACTTACTATTGTATTACGAGTGTACTATACATGTGAGTAAACAAACTGACCGTTCCCTGTCCGTGTCGACGGAGAAGTTGCGCTCGATGACGGTGGTCCATTGCAGGCCGCGGATAGTGAACGTGTGCGGCCGAGGCTTGTCCACGGCCATGATCTGGCAGTCTCGCACTGTAAACTTGTTCAGAGGGTCACGGTAGTTATTGCGCTCCGGCTGTGTTTTGAACCCAACTAAGTCACCATTGTCAAATAGAATGAAATAGCGATCTCGCCAATTGCGGATGTGTTCCCCACGCTTTTGCAACCAGCCCTCTTTTACAATGTTTCCGAGCGCCTCGGCCTCCGCCATGGCTGAAGTTTGCCCGCGCCCGACCGAGCCACTTCACACAACACTTGCTCGCCAATCTAAATATTCGCTTAGATAGCCACACCACTACCACGTTTCAATATGACACTTAAAGCGCGTGCTTCACCTGTACTGAATATCACCGTCAAAATATGTATAGTACATTTTCTTGCATAAAACAACAATTTTATAATAATTTTGAACGTTTTCTCGTCTTAGAAAACGACACGATTTAGCGACGTAGCCTCGCGGTAGCTATGCGACAATGTCAAGTAGGACTGTTTGATGAAAAACAATAAACGAAGACTGACGTAGACTAATACGCAACGCATAAGTGGGAAAGAGAAATCCGACAAATCTGAAGTAAGGCACAGGACTATTTATTTAGTTGCATAATAACCTATTTTGACAAATTAGTGCTATATGTCTGCCGCTAGTCGAATAAATGGCGTTGTTTAATGTTTTTTGTTTTTTATTTCCTTGAAACGTTCCTTTACACACAAATCTGTGGTCCTCTTGTAATAGGCATTTAATTCTGTGTCTGATAGCTGTTGCCCGCGATTTCGTCCGCGTGGAGTTGGTTCTGGCAGCGTAAGCTGAGAAAAGTTCAAACATAGGGATTTTTTTGAGGTGTGGTCGAGAAACGCTCTTTATTAATGGTTCCTAAACATTAGTAATAATAAAAACCGACTTCCAAACAAAATACACTAAAAACAAAACAAAATGCACTAAAAACAAAACAAAATATCCTCAAAAAAACAGTACACTAAAAA